GTTATGAATCATAATGTAAATATCTGATATGCAGGATGTATTTTCATTGTTACAGATTGAACATAATTAGTTGGCGCTGGTGGTATAGTGGTGAGCATAGCTGCCTTCCAGATTGAACATAATTAAAGCATCGTGATTAATCACAAAAACAATATGTAATTAAATATGTGTTTTCTGATGGTCTTAGGGGACCCCTATGAAAGGGTCGTTTGACCCCCAGGTTGAGAACCGCTGCTCTAGGAGGAGGGGTGGGAGTCTGTCTACCTCCACAGCTCATGTTACGTGAGAAGGGCCTGGAGATCAGCTTGATGTCCTTTCGAATCATCCTGGGAAATAGCATCCATGTTGGTGTCTAAGTGGCTGAGTCTAATCTTGTAAAGAAAACTGGTGGAACCTGAGAATTGTGATCCAGGTTGGAATCCTGGCCAAGAAACCAAGAAATCCTCTCATAGACGAGGGATGCTGAGGTTTCAGCAGCGAAGCTCTCTGGGCCTCACTTACTGCTTTTCTTGATTTTTAGAAAACGATTCCTACTAATCAGAGGAAAAAGGGAGTTTCTCTTGGAGCTAACGGTCTGGGCCCACTGGGCCTGTGGCTTGGCGTCCTCTCCTGAGTAACATGGTGCAAAGTGCACTCGCCCTGTTCCCGGGGAGCCGGGCTGCACGGGCGCCTTCACTTCCTTGCTAGTGACCCCGCGCCCAGGCTCCAGGGAACAGCAACCGGGCCCCTGAGCACTGAGACCACGCTGCCTTCAGTCCAGCCGGGACCCCTGTGCTGCTCATCCCCCACTGGTCCCCTCAGGCTCCGACGCCCGCCCTCTGGTCCCGCCCTCCCCTTTCTCTGGGCCGCCCTGGAGATCCTCTGTCCCAGCCTCCTGTGTGCAGACAGGAACTGCGCCCAGAGAGGCTCGGGGATTTGCCCAAGAACACGCTGAGTTGGGGGCGGACGGGGCCAGTGTTCTCCCCTCTGCAGCCCTGGCCTCTTCAGCACCCACCAGGCACATCTAAGCCAAAAGAATGTGACGGCCTGGACATCGTTTTTTTCGTTTATTGTTGGAAGTATTACATAGGCCCTCCTTTTGGACTGGACATCATTTAAAATGTTTGTTCTGTTTATGTATTTGTTCATCGTTGGCCAAGCATTTAATCCACCCACTACATCAGCACTTAATGCGGTCGAGCCGGAGGCACGTGTGTGAGCAGTACTCTCGGGGCCATTCGTTCTCAGCGGGTCAGGGTGGCTGGAGGTCGTGCGCTCACTGTTCCTTGACCCCATCACCCAGCACCCTAAGGGCCAGTGTGTCCGTTCCCTGGAGGACTGGGGTCCTGGCACCAGACGTATTTCCTGTCAGTAGCTGCCAGGCCCACAGGCCCTGTGTTCTGGTTGTGCATCTGTGGCGCCCCCTGTGGCAGGACTTGCTGGGGCTGTTGCTGACGTGCAGCTCTTATTCCCACTTTCCCGCTGTCAGCCTGTTGCAGAGACAAAGGTTCCCGAGAAGAAGGCCACGCCGTCCAAGCCAGCCTCTGCTCCGGCCTCCAGGCCCGGCTCCAGGAGCACCCAGGCCGCTCCAAAGGCCCCCGCGGCCGCCTCTGTTGCCTCGACTGGGCCGAGCAGCAGGAGCGCCCCCACGCCCCTGCCCAGGAGGCCTGCTGGTGAGTGTGGTCCCCCTCCTCCCTGCGGGGACCCGTTGGGAGGAGAGTGGGATGTGACGGCCCCAGCCATAACTCGGCCAGCGCCACGGGAGCTGTGCAGGTCTGTCAGGCCTGGACGGGTGTGTTGGCAAGTGGCAGCCGTGGTCTCCATGGGAGGGTAGCAGGCAGGTACACTGGGGAAAACCGTGAGTGGAGAGGACTGTCCTGAGCTATCGGGAGACTTCACTGTTCCTTCCCGGTGTCTCCATGGCTCCAGCACAGGGCAGCCTCCATGCCCACCAGCACCATGGGCCTCCATGGCAAGAGTTAGGCCATTCTGCTCCATAGGCGCATGCTGGCCGCCTGTTTCTAAGGCGCGTGGAAGGCGTTGTCAAGACCAGGAAAGAAGGAGACCAGAAGGGGCCCTTGTGCCCCGCAGCGGGCGTGGCTTCACATGGTTGCCTAATACACTGCCCTCCCCAGAGGCCATCTCGGCCCCTGGCTCAGCAGACGTTCAGTAACTGTTGAATGAGTGAATGAATGAATGAGCCTCAGGATTGGACGAGCCATTCAGTAGGTCCGTTTACTAAAGTTGTATTGAGAGGTGTATGTCTGTGCAGGCACCAAGACGGAGGGAAAGCCTGCAGACGCCAAGAAGGCAGTTACGAAGTCTGCACCAGGTAAGGCCCCCGCCCCACTTGGGGCCCTAACTTCAGCCCCCACGTCTGCCGCGGCTTTAAGGCTCCTGTAGGCGCGCCCCTGAACCCTGGTCTCACTCCGACCTTCACAGCTGACTTGAGTCGCGCAAAGAGCACCTCCAGCAGCACCGCGAGGAAGACCGCCGCTGGCCCTGGGCCGGGCTCGCCAGCCGGTGCGGCTCCCAGTCGCGTCAAGCCCACCCCCGTGTCTCCCCGGGCCTCTGGGACTCTTGCCGTGGACAAGAAGCCCACTTCGGCCAGGCCCAGCTCCTTGGCCCCCAGACTGAGCCGCCCGGCGACCAGCGCTTCCACGCCTGATCTGAAGAACGTCCGCGCCAAGGTCGGCTCCACGGAGAACATCAGGCACCAGCCTGGTGCTCCCCACACATGTCCTCACCGCAGCCCGGGCACCAGGGAGCGGCCGGCAGGGCCTGGGCTGGGAGCTGGGAGGGGTGGGCCGAGTGCTGCGCCCTGATTGGAATCAGGGGCTCCTGTTCTGTGTGTGGGTTTAGACTTACAGTTTCGTTTGGAGACAAAAGGTTCTACTTTACAACATGAGCAGAGGAGACTCTGGGACTGCAGGGGAAAGACGGGACGCGACTGGTTTGTCGTGGGTCTCACCTGCCCTGTGAGCAGCAGCAGTGTCTGTGGAGGGTGGGGGTCCTGGTGGCCGTGGCTGCCCCACGAAGGAACGGCTGTGGAGTGGAGTGATGGAGCAGGCCCGTGGGCCTTCCTGTGTGTGTCCGTCCTGGCCTTACTTGTTAACTGTTAGCAACCAGGGCGACTTGGTGTGTGAAAAAGGTGGTGGCAGGAGTCCACTACCCGGTCCCTGAGTGCGGCCTTGTCACGTCCATCACCGCCAGCCCTTCTCCGCCACCACCACTGAGGGCAGGACACTGACCAGCTTCAATCCCGAGCTGTTAGAAAACTGAATCGGGTCCAAAGTGAGGCAGAACCTGCTGCCGCGGGAAGAGCCTCCCGCAGAGGATTGGCCTGGGGCGAGGGCCTCGGACGGGCTCCGGCAGCCCCACCAGGCCTCCGTCCCGCACACCCTTAGGCTCTCTGCGCCGTAGTGGGGGGCGCTGAGGTGGTTCGTTTTCTGTCCCACACACCTGCAGGGCGTGACGCGCACGTCTCCGGTAGTGGCTCGCTGTGACCACAGGCGCGTGCGTGGGGCAGAGAATGTTTGGGTGGGCGGACATTGTGGTTGGGAAGCCATAGCCACGGCCACGCTCAGAGCAGAGCCGCTCACTGAGCCCCGCCTGTCGGCCTCCGTGATGCTGGCTGCTCTGCTGTGGCCCCAGCTTTGATCTGCAGCTCCTCCCTCTGGCCGGTCTACCTGGGAAATGGGTGTTTTTTCCCAGGAGCAAGGGGACCTGCTTCTGCCTGGCCTGGACTCGAGTCCCAGCCTTCTTTCCCTCTTCGCATTTGGGCTCTTGTCCTCTTGTTTTGAAATTGCCCTTCCTTTATCCCCGTCTAGGCCAAAGTAGAGGGAAGAACAGAGGCAGCAGCTGCAGCTCGAAAACCTGCCCCTCCCGCGGCCACTCAGCCTGCTGGGCCGGGTGCGAGCGCACAGAGGGCGCCTGCGGGGAAAGTGAGTGTCCCGGGCACAGCCACGCCCTCCTGCGGCCTCTCCTGTCCCTCAGCTCCATCCTCTCCCTGTGCCTCCTTCATGTTTCACATCAGAAAGTTTTTATCGACCCTGAGAGTTAACACTCGGGACTCATTAGTGCTTTGGGGACTATTTATTCAGCTGGATCTACACCTTTCAATCACTTCCTTCACACTGACCTTGACCTGACGGCCAGCTGTTACCCGCGCACACGTGCACTCACACTCGGCACCGGGCTCTTCCGCGGTGAGACGTGGCACTGGTGTCTTCTGGCACCTGGAGTCCCGGAGACCCTGTGCTTTACGCTGAACTGGAAGGCCCCTCCCATAACACTGCTGGGTGTGGGGGTGGCTTGGTTTGTCCCGGCTCCCCAAGTCACGTCTTAGAAAGTTAGGGTGCTCACTACAGTGGAAGCCCACTCAGCACGGTGGCGCACCAGCTGGAGGGCAGAGGCCAGCTGGCCCTGCAGGTTCTTTCCCTCCTGCCGTGGAGCCTCTGCCCTGAGCTGCAGCCGCAGCCTCTAAGAACCAGGATGGCCTCAGCCCAAGGACTCTGTACGTCACGGCTCCCGGGTGACTCCTGGGGTCCCTGGTGCAGACCAGGGTGTATTGGGAAATGTTTGTAAAGAAGCAAGAAATGGCGAGGTGTTTGGGTTAGTGTTTGTCAGCATGATTTCTCTACTCCATTGGCAGCTGCATCATTTGCAAAGGGCTCCGAAGGGAAGGGAAGGGAAAGGAAGGAGGGAGGGAGCTGGCAGCTGCTCCTTGCGAAGGCTGCAGGATCGGGTGGCTGCATTCCAGGGGCAGCCGCTCCCTCGCTCGCTGGGCCTACAGGACCCTCCATGCCCTGGGCTTCGAGAGGAAGCTGCTGGGCTGCGGGCCACGCGCCCCCTGGTGTCCAGGACTGTGCACGGCACGCCCGGTGCTGGTGTCTCGGATCTGTGCCCCGAGCCCACTGCCCAGTGCTTCTCCCGCGGCCAGCCTCCCAGTGGCTCTGCTGCAGCCGCTCCAGGCCCCAGGCTGAAGGGAAGGCCCACCCCTGGCGAGGGACTGGCCCAGATGAGCCCCAGGACATGCCCCCCAGACCTCAGGGAGGAACCACAGCCCAGCCCCCACCGAGCAGTGGTAGCGCCAAGTCGCACTTCACCGAACATCTGCTCTGTCCTAGTGCTGACTGTCCGTCCTCACCCCTTTTCCTGCTCCTCAGGCTCTGCTTCCACAGCTGTTCTCCGCAGGTGGGGGCGGAGCTTTAACCCACGCTCTGTTGGTCATGTGATTGCGTGTGGCCTCACTGCCGCCCTGTGTCAGTAACCAGCCCTCCCCCTGTGTTGTTTCTCTGTTCTCTAACACTCCAGGTCCAGATAGTCTCCAAAAAATTGAACTACAGCCATGTTCAGTCCAAGTGTGGTTCCAAGGACAATATTAAGCATGTCCCTGGAGGCGGTAATGTAAGTATCAGCCTGGACACTCGGCCTCGGCCGCCGTGGGGCACACCGAGGAGCCCC